CGGCGCTGGTGTTCGACTTGCCGTTCGAGTTGCCGAGCCATGACGGACTTTATCCGAGGACGGCATCGACGGTGATGTTGCGTGGCATGACATTGCCGCGCGAGGTCGAACTCGACGACACGGGGAGGGCGGAAATCTCGGCGATGGTGGAACGCGTGGGCGCAGTTTTGGGCTACGTGAAAAAGGCGCCGCCGCCGCCAGAGCCGCAGCCGAAGTTGACGGTGGAGGAGCAGGCTCGGGATGGTGTTAAACAATTCAACTTTCTATAGAGGTGTGGTTTGTGCTGGCTATGATAGCTTCAACTTGGATAGTCCAGGAAGTCTTATGCTTTAATCACTTGTTAGAGAATGGTGACAGGTGCAGGCGAGGGTGGTGGAAGCTGCGCCGGCGCTTGCGATACAGCTCGCTTCCCTGGAGGTGGACGGCCGCACGTGGGCGGCTCCCAGGCTTTTATATTAATCCTGCACCATGACCTTTAAATAAGCCGGTCCCGTAGCCCCGCCAACCGCAAACCTAGCTAGAACTTATAACCCGTAAAATTGATTTGAACGTTTTGTGTCTTATTAGACCTTAGCCCTGCAACACAAATACATTGGGTCCCTGTACCAAGGTGGCGTCGGCGCTGGTGTCCATGGAGGGCGGTGCGTCGATGGCGCAGGAGATAGTCGGGTGGCTCGATAGCAGCTTGGCTGCTATTACACTTTTTTTTTTTTTTTATTATTTGCTTAACCCCAACACCCTTAATAATGGGGTTTAGGGTTTAGGGTTTATAAGCTAAAACTAAAACGATAATACGTCTCGTAAAAAATACAATTAACTCAAACTAAACCATTGGACCTCAGCTCAGAAACGCGCGACCATGCGACTGGCGAGTACCCAGCTTGGGACAATCCGTCGGCGATGGTGTCGACGGGGATCAATGAGCGCATTGACTTGCTCAAGAAGCGAAGCTTCTTGGAGAAAGATTAATTAATTGTACTAACATAACTAAATTCCGTTGCATTGTAGTTTCAAAGTCATTTTTGGTTTAATCGCTGGGTCTTTTTATTCAGTGCACACGCACACAATCCCACTCAGGCCGGCGGTCGATGCAAGCTGCAAGCGCTGCAAGCAGCAGTCACCAATTCGGGCGCGGGCGCGGGCGTGATTATTATTGTGATTTTTCTGATGACGAAGATTATGAGTTTGGGTATGGTGGGCGCAAAGGCGGCAGAGGCCCCCTGAAAGACCTCTGGGGCAGGCCAATTAATTGGAAAGGCAACCCAGTGCGAAAAAAAATCAACATGTTCCATTGTGCTTGTTGACACCTTGGCAATAGAATAAGGGTTTAGGATTTTGGTTTAGGGTTTAGGGTTTTAGGGTTCAGGGCTTGGGGTTTAGGGACGTTGTTTTCTTTCCACTGTTGCAAAAGGCACGTTGTTAGTTTTTTTTTTGAGAGAGAGAGAGAGAGAGAGAGAGAGAGAGATTTTTGTATAGATGCACTGTAATTATGACAGCTAGGTAAGTAAATATACAGATATTGATAGACGGAAAGACCGATAGGTTGTGTTCTCCCAAGTAGGCGAGTGCTTTAGCATATACATTCTCTAAATTGGTTTCTGGTGCAAAACATCCGAGGCAAAGGAAAATGATGGGCGCAGGCGAGAGGCGTTGGTGTGCTGATGATGGCGTAGGCGAAGCACCATACAGCTTTTGAAGAAGCGAGTGCCAAAAGATCTGACAGCACCGGGGTTGATTTCAGGTTTTTGCAACGCATTGCAAAGATTCGTGTTTGGTGTCTAGGATTTGGGGGGGTTCCGGGGTTCCGCTGGCCGCAGTGTCAGGATGTAATTTAATTAAGGGACGGAGGGCCTTGCAGTTGTCCATCCAGTGCCTTCATACATCCTGGCCTGAGAAACCCGCCATACAACAGTAACTAAAGCCCGCACGCCCCCCAAACTCAAACACCCAAGCCTTTTATTTCTCAAGCCTGACTCCCAAACCCAACCCCCGAAGATGCCCTACACCCCGAAGCTTCATACGAACCCATTCCCCCAACAAGCCGGGCCCCCTCAAACTTGCAAAGTAGCAAGTCCACTTGCGCCCAGACCCGCCAGCCCCCAAACACCCGGACACCAAGGCCAAACCCAACACCTTCAACTCCGATCTTTGCCCTATGCAGGTGCTTTGCTTTGGCGCTGGCGATGCAGGTGGATGCGGTTTTCATAGTGTGGGTATTTGGCGGGTTCGGAAACTTGAGGCGGTTAGCTCAAAGGCGTCGGGTTCAGTTGAAGTGGTTACCACAGGCCAGGGTGCGAGGCTTTAGGGTGTGGGGTTCTGGGTTGCAGGGTTTCCCAGATATTCTTAATTAATTAGTTCAATCACTCATTCATCGTTTTTAATTAACTTATCAGTCTTACTCGTACGAAATACGAATTACCTCCGGGTTCAAGCCTTGCTTTGCAGTGTCTGAAGGTAAGATAAGTGTGCCGGTTGTCATAGTGTTGGATTTTAGGAAGAGGGGGGGTGAGGGCTATAGAGTTGTGATTGTGGAGCTATATTGAGGGTCCAGGGGCTTTGTCCCAATCTAGTGTGACTGCCATAGCCCCAAGAATGGTTACAGTCAAACACTTCAAATTGTTATGATATCGATGATTCATAAAGTCATACTTGTTCATAAGAAGCAATATATTGGTGAGTATTAGTATGCACAAAACAACCTACAGTACATGTAGTATTCATCCTGTGTGAATAGCTAATATTCCAAATTGGAATAGAGTCATTGCTGTCAGCCGGTGTTTGTAAGCTTCCACTTGGCCAGTCTATCTAAACGCACCCCAATTTTAACCCTAATTTAAAACCCTAGCTACACAGTAGTACTGACAGTCATTGAAAGCCCAGTTTCGTATACTCGTCTGCGTTTCGGTCGGGGCTTGGGGTAGGCCCTGAAGCCCTAAACCCCGGTAACCCTGCACTTTCAAACCTGACTTGACCCCGTGCCCTTTTGAGCATAATTTATCTGTCGCTGCGAAACAGGTTTTGTGAAGATTGCAGCTCAGCAGCCCGACATGAAACGCAAGGCCACCCGATCGGGAGTTAGGAAACAACGTTTTCCATAGGTAGGCCAGAGACTTCCAGCTCAGTATTTTCCAGACAGGAGTGAGTGCATGGAGCTCATTGCACGTTTGTTTTCTCGTTGCCGTGCAGCCTTTTATAGCCCTCATAGTTTCTGACTTTTCGACAACTTGTGTTTCGTCCCCGGCGATGGCGTCGGTGAGTCCAATGGAGTCAGCGACGGCGGCGACGACGGCGACGACGGCGGCGACGGCGGCGACGGCGGCGGCGACGGCGGCGACGACGGCGGCGGCGATGGCGTCCCGGGTTCTGGGCTACGTAGCCATGCCGGAGTACGCGTGGAGCCAGCTCGCCCGGAACTTGGACGAGAAAGAGGCCCAGCATTCTGTTGTCATGTTAGATTATTATTAAATTAGGTATGCAAGCCGAAGTCAAATCCCGCTGCACCCTATTTGGCGATTCGACACGCAGGTCCTTCTCTCGGCGGTGGTGACGGCGCCGTCGGTGGAGCTGGCGATCCTGGCGACTTTGAAGACAGAGTCCAGGAAGCGACTCGACGATGACTGTTTTCGCGGCTTCGGGTGTCCTGATTGTTGTAGCTGTAGTAGCCACTTCCTTAACGCAGTCTCTCGCCATCGTCCCTTCTCCATAAAAATGACTGCCTCAGGCTGGGCTTCTCCTGGAGCGACGCGTCGGCGCCGGCGAAGAAGAATCGAGTAAGCAACATGGTCGCAGGCGAGGTCGTAGGCGCGCTGCTGAAGGAAACGGCGGAGTACCGTGTCTTCGAGGTTCTTGCTGACGGAGATGCCTTGTTCAAGGGCATATGCCGAAAGCTGGTGATGGCGGACAAGCAGGCGAAGGCGCAGCCGGCGTACCGCATCGATACGTTTAGGCCGCTGGCGCCGGTGGCGTGGGCGGCGCTGGGGTCGTACTACGGCGATCACGGCCCAAACGATGTTGGGGTGAAGACACGAAAGCACCGCCTCACAGTTTCGGTGGCGACGGCAACACCGGCGACGGCGCCAGGGGAAGGGCAGGCGAAGCAGGCGACGGCGCCGGCGGGAACCCCGGGCATGAAGTGGACCTTCTACGTCCCTATCTCGGATGCCTTGTTCACGAAGCTGGAGTCCAGGCAGGACACTTTGCCGCGGATGAAGCTCTTCTTCGACGAGGCGAACCACGGCTTTCTCAAGAACCTCCAGACGAAGCCAAATGCTTGGATTCAGCACTTGATTTTCTCCTTATGTTGTTGTATAATCAATTCTCAAACAAACAAAGCTACGACTATAGTACTAGCTGGAACCTTTACACTCTCAAGTAAACTCCAACTATAAGGTTCCACGTGCCCAAGGCGCGGGGGCCGGCGTCGAAGGTGGTGGCGGCGGCGCAGGAGCCGGGGGACTCGCCGCAGAGTTTCATGTTCAGCGAGCTCCTGCCGGCGGCGCTGGTTGCTTTGGCTTCCGGCGGCCAGCTGAAGACATGGGGCATGTCCTGCACGATCGTGCAGCTCATTGTCCCTGTGGAAGTCGGCAGTAAGATCCTGAACCCGGTGGAGGCGCTGAGTTGGTTGTCGGTGTGGGGGTTGGCGTCGTCGATCTCGGAGAATGACATGGAGCATGCGACCATGGCCATCTTGCAGGCGAAGGTGGAGACCACACCGGGCCCGTATGAGGATCTGCGCGAGTTCGCCGTCGGTCGCCGTCGTGCTCTTCAGCGCACTGCAATGGCCATGTGCTCCGTCTAACTTGTTTCTCATACCAAGGTTGCATGTTTTTTGTTGCAATGTGCGGATAAGGTACGACCGCAAGATCGCTGTGCTGCAGTCGAAGCGGGCGCGGGTGGCCGGCATGAGTGCGGACCTAAGCACTATGGAGGAGGACCTCCGCGAAGTCGTCGATGGGGATGGCGCCGGCGCTTCCGACGGCGACATGGACCTGAGCTCCAATGAGTGAGGCGCAGGCGCAGGCGCAGGTTGTGAGAAGGCTTATCTTGGCGCGGAGGTCTATCTCTCAGTTCTCCATCATCCATGCAGTTTTGTTTTTTTGTGGAGGCAGAGGCGCAGGCGTCCAGTCGTAGGCGTTGGAGGCATGTGCCGCTTTGCCCACACCGCAAGCTGTGCTGTCGCCGGAAGCAAAAGGGCCGTCTAGCGTGTTGTTGCCAGATGGCAAGATAGACGGTTCTGAGCTGCAGTCTCGCTCGTGATCTTGTTCGGTTGCAAACAGGAGGGCCCTCATTGGAAGCTGGAAGAGTTCCCAGCTCAGCAGCAGGCTCAGTGTTTTACATTGGTTGCAATTTGTACATATCAATAATACAATTTAGCATAATGTGTACATTTTTTTTCACATACGTGTTTTCTTAGTATGCTTAAAATATTGTTTTAGTATATCCTATTGGCTATACTGGTTGAAGTGTGTGCTTTGCTTGTGGCTGAAATATTTCCATAGCTGTAATATATTTACTTCATCATTGGAAATGGATCAGGAAATATCATCGTTGAGTGTTTGCAAACGCGAGACTTCGCCAGGTGTGCTTGTCTTCTGTTCTGTTGTGTACTAACTAAGACTACACTCACCGACCCCCCGCCATACATCACCGCAGTGCCACTGGCCTGCTGCCTTGGGGGTCACTGCACAAGCCACGCCACTTGCTGGCAGGACGCAGGCGGGGTACGAAGCCTGCGGTAACTGCGACGACAGGGTCAATCGCAACAGGGACGTTGCATTGGCCGGTGGCATTGGGGCTGGCGCAGGCGATTTGGTCAGGGGGCCTGTGGAACCAGACCTGAGACAGTCCCGCAGCTGGCAGATGCACACCCCTGCTTTAAAGATCGCTCGCGGTTATAGTGTTTATTAAAGCTTATGTTCATATACTAGAGATTACTAACACTTGAGAAATGGTTAGCTAAGTGGTTAAGCAAGTATTTAGCTAGCCGATTAGCTAACTAGTTAGCTGTGTCGCTAAGTACTTAGCTAAGAAGTTAGCTAACTAGTTAGTAAGCATAAATAGTCCTTCGTATCAAACAGAAACATCGAAAGTTGATCATAAGATTAGCCTTTTAGAAGAAACATGGGCAGACAAATCAGGAAGCTCATACTTGAGTTGCAGTATAGGAAAGTATACAAAAGCCCATGGGCTCTTACAAGGTTTGAACATGTGGCACGGCATCGTGCTAATTGTGTAGAAGCATGTATAGTCATAGCACGCATTTTTTCCGAAATGCGGCGGCAGCTCTCGCGATCAGGGTCCGCATTCTTTCGGGATCCAAGCCCGAAGGCTGCCGTCAGCATTTTTGCTGTAAGCGGCAGCTCTCGCGATCAGGGTCTGCATTCCTTCGGGATCCAAGCCCGAAGGCTGCCGTCAGCATTTCTGCTATAAGCGACAGCAGCCATGATGTTTTCGGTCTCTACCAAGCTCGCAGCTTCCTGCTTCTGACAGATGCATGTACCATGCTTCCAGTCATGCTGCTGCATCTCGAGCACGTTGACCAACGAAAACATCTTGCCTCCAACCTCGGCATGGAAATAGACCTCTGCAAGCTCACAGCTTCTCATGATCACAACATCTCCCTTGTGACAGTGGCCGGCTGGAGCCAAGTGAGCTGCTGCACATGTGTAGACCTCCTCGTCGAGTGGCAAGACTTCGCGAAGGAAGCCTTTCAGCTGCTTGGACGGCTTGCATTTCTGGTGCAGCCTTGCGGCTGTGTCGAAGAGGTGCTCGTCCTGGTAGTCCGCCAAAGTCTGGCCCAGTGCCTCCACTAGCAAGGACTTGTCAAAGTGACTCGTGTTGTGCATGAGAGCACCGTGTCTCTTGATGTGTCTGTGCTTTCGTTCTTGAACCCAGCAAGAAGGTAAACAGCCGAATTTGGCTAAATGCCGAGGTAAGTGGAGTATCCAATGAAACTTAGGGTGGAAATCATCTTGCCACCCTGCATCTCGAGCACTGCACAAGAAGCCCTCGACAGCTGTTCTCAATCTTTGAGGTGTCGTCACCCCATGGGGCACAGCTTGAAGCAGCTCGAGCACATCTCTGAGGTGTATGCATACAGCGATTTCCATGGAGCAGATTCCCAAGGGTTGCAAGACATTTACCAAAAGGCACGTGAAGATGGGATACAATGCCAGGGCTTCGGAAGCTGTGCACTTGAAGGTCTCAGCGCTTTTGTTTGCTTCCTTCCTCTTCGCAGTAAACAATTTAGCCAGATTCTGCGATTTCGAACGAGGCAAAATCCACTGCTCCACATAATCAGCACAGATCTTGTAGAAGTCCTGGCCAAGGCCTTTCTCAGCAGCTTTCATAGTGAGCTGCATGCAAGTGTTCCTGCCAAGAGTCGGGGCTGGGCAGGCAGGAAGAAAATGATCATGCCAACAAGTGCAGTGCAGGAAAGGAAAAGAACTGGTATTTCGTATATATTGTTACATGCAAAACCAAGCATCCAAATGCCTTTGACGAAAAAGGCATGCATCCAGTCGTGAAGCCATTGGCTGACAGGCTTGGCGACAGTGCAGAGTTCCGGGTCAAAGATCAAGCTCTCAGGCTGATAAACGATGCCCACGGCCTGCTGCCACAAAGCAAAGTCGGTCTTAGTCAGCTCTTCATGTTTCTCCAACAGCTTCATGATGCTTCGGCTGAAATCCTCGTCGCTGTTCAGTTGCAGATCAGCCTCTTTGAAGCACTGATTCAGCAATCTAGCTTCTGCTAGCTCAATGCTATTGTTCGCCAGAATGTTTCGGCAAAGCAAGCAACACCGAGTACCTGCGTCCCCCTTTATCGAGAAAAGCAGCTTGTGTGCTGCTCCATCCTGTAGGAATGCAGCGAGCCTGAAAAACAGCCTTTCGGCTCTTCCACCATCAGGCCGCTTCAACAGCACTCCTGCTTCAGGGCTCGCATTGCCAGAGACGAAGATAGATTTCAGCAGCATGCCAGCCACTTGGCTCATACCACCAGGCAAATTGGACACCACAGTGGTTCTGACCAAGCACAGCGGCAGCCATGAGGCTTCTTTACTCAGGTTGATGGGGCCTAGCTCAAAAAATGATACATAGATTGCCCAGACTTTCCGGGATGCTTCAGGCGCCAACGGGTTTCCACAATTGATTTCGTCGGAGTAAAAGATTAGCCTGCAAGGAGCACGAGTGCTACTGCCATGGAGCAATCGTCTCCACTCAGCAGAGGCGAGCCACAGGGCTTGTAGCAACGAAAAAAAATTGACGAATATGAGAGTCTGTTCAGCACCATCCTTGTCCTGCACTGCCATGCTCTGAAGCAATGGACCATAAGCAGAATGCTGTTCGAGTGCATTCTCTGTCGCCTCCTTGACATGTTTTCTTCCATGCATTTCCGGTAGGCCAGACGATTCCACCGCTTGCAAAAGAGCAGACATGGCTGCAGCCGACATAGGCGGTAGCTTTCGTTTGAAAGCTTCCAGCTTCTGCAGCTTAGCTCCTCTGTCCATGGCCGCTGACACCACTCAAAAAGATACCCTGATTTAGCGAGTTTCGTGCATGGCTCATCACAATACTTCAAAAAAGAAATAAATGCACATATTTCCTATACGGTCTATATTCATTCCCTGCATAGTGCAGGCCTCCCATGGCAAAAAAAGATAGCATGCGAAAAAGCTTTGCAAAGCGAAGGTTTGAAGAACAAATCCTAAAGCCATACTGGGTTGTCCGAGTCTGACAGGCAGTGGGCTATACGAGTGCTGTGAAGCCTAAAGCCTCGAACCATGCACGAAATTTGCATAGTAGTCGAGACTGGCTGATAATGTTCCATGCAGTGTGAAAAGCTGCAGCCTTAAAACCCCTAAACCATGATAATGCTTCAGCTTGAAAAGCTGAAGCCTGACACAGCCGAAAACATGAAACTACCTTTTAGATTGTAGGTTTCAGGTTCTTGGTTTAGCCATTAATGGTTAAACCAAGAAAACAAGAAAATAACCCATATGCCAAAGCTTGAAACCCTAAAGTCGCAAAGTTGAAGCTTAAATGTTTGCATACAGCTTGCATGGTCAGCATGGCGCAATCCCTTCGTTTTCTGCTTCCCCCAGCACTGGCTTCACGGCCAATGATTCGGATAGCTCTCTTAAACACTTGAGCGAGACCATCCTCAACACCCAGCAAGCGCCATCTAAAGACATGCATCCATGTCCCATGGAACCTGCTATAGCCCGGAGGCTCCCCAGGAGTCTCATGCTTCGATGGCCAAATTGCACGAGCCTTCGGCCCTGCAGGGTAGCATCACTTGTCCCACAGCTTTGCTGCTGCTGCACGAGCTGATCTAGCATATTCTTTGCAAGCCTCATCGTCGCAGCCGCTTCGTCGGGCGATGTCTCTGCCCTTGTGGTAGTGCTTGTCCACGTAACTGTCTCTGCGAGCTTTTCTCTGTGCAGCCGTGGGCTTCTCAGCGATGTACCGTGGCAAGCTTGCAGCAGTGGGCTTCTTTCCACCCTCAGCCTGACCCTTGGCTTTGGACTTGCTCTTGGGCTTGCCCTGAGCCTTACTGGCTTTTGATGTCTTCTGCCCATTGCCCGCATTCGCTTTCTTGTCCTTCAAGGCCAGGAAAAGCTGCTCGTCAATCCCCGCACGGCCTGTCTTCTTCTCATCAGTCGTCTTCTCGGCCTGCTCCTCTTCCTCACTCTCCTCATCCTCAGCCGGAGGCTCATCCTCAGCCGGAGGCTCTTCCTCAGCCGGAGGCTCTTTGGGTGCTGGCGGCAACATCTTCAAAGCCTTAGCCTTCGGCTTCGGCTTGAACTGCTGTCCACCCGGCTGGTTCTGCTGGAAGACATTGGCCACCTGTGCGACAGCCTTCATCATGCCCATGAACTCCTGCATCCCAAATCCGGCCTGGCTTTGAGGAAAGCTGTGAAAGCCCGTAGGCTCGCTGTGAGAACAGCCCTTGAGCTCGGAAGAAGTGGCAGCAGGCTGCTGCAGCTCCATCATCTTCCTTTTCTTGC